GTTCGGCAGTTTCTTCTTCCTCTCCACACGCACTGCATACTGTGTCTACCCCTTCGTATTTGGCCCGATATGTCTTGGTTCGCAGTACTCCGTCCTGGCCTCAAACAGTAGAGAACTACCCCGAGTATTATCATAGATTCTTTCCTTGGCAATTTCCTGCTTAAAAGTTCGATAGATCTCTAGTGCGGACTTCTTAATCATGCCCATTCTTCACATGTCAGTCTCCATTTCCTTCACTTTCTTCTTAACCGATAGTTCTTTTTGGTTTGGCCACCTGCTGTTTTTTAAGTATTTACCAGTCAATTTTCTGGTTCGCTTCCTCCATTTTGTATCGGCATTCTTCATGTACAAGTAGCTGAAAACTTTCCTAGCCCAGAGCTCCTCCCCCATTTCTCTCAATCGCTTCTCAAATTTTATCTTGCTGCTAGCTTCCCTGCCCTCAAATGATGTCCATCCCATATCACCTTGTACTCCCTGATTTGGTGTATTCCCGCGAGCTCCTAAAGCAAGCCTACCTATTCCACGTTGCTTAATTTCTAATCTTGCTTGAACTTCTGATCTCATGCACAAGACCGCATTGCCGAACGTCAGCCCAGGAACCATGACCCCTTTCCATATTCCTCTCACAACATCATACCTATTGTAATTCCACAGTGCACTATTTTTCATCACTGCTGCATTTCTGTTACCTTTAGTCGTCACGTATATTTCGTGTTCCCTCAAGTACTCGGTCCCATTGCTTATCCATACGCCCAGATATTTGTATTTATCTGTTATCTCTAGCGTGCAAATCTCTGCGAATCTTCCTTGTTGTTGGCCATTAGCACTATATCATCTGCGTACATTAATGCTGGCAGTGCCTGATCAATGAGTTTTCCTTGTTTGACTAAAGAGAGGTTGAAGCCCAGTCCACTTCCCTCTAATTTGGCCTCTAATCCTTGTAGGTACATCACGAATAATAAGGGCGACAGGGGACACCCCTGCCTAAGCCCCCGTTTTACCTCTGCAGGCTTGGATACCTGTTTTTCCCACTTTATAACTACCTAGTTACCTTTATAGATATCCTTCAAAAGATTAGTGACTACATGTTCCACGCCTAGTGTGTCCAGTATTCCCCACAATTTCTCTTGAACCACGCTATCGTACGCTCCCTTGATATCCAAAAATGCTAGCCACAGGGGCCTGTGTTCCTTTTCGGCTATTTCCATTCACTGCGTCAGTGAGAACAGATTGTCTTTCAACCTCCTGTGTTTCTGAAACCCATTCTGCAGTTCCCCCAGCACCCCCTCATCCTCTATCCATGCCTGCAGTCTTTCCTTTATAATCTGCATCGCCAGCCTGTAGACCACTGATGTCACTGTTATAGGACGGTAGTTGTTTATGTTAGCTTTGTCCCCCTTTCCTTTATAGATCATGCTCATCCTGCTAAGTTTCCATCCATCGGGAACTTCACCATTGATTATTAGTTTGCTCACTGCCTCTCTCAAAGCCTGCTTAGACTTCGGACCTAATGTCTTTATCAGCATAATTGGAATGCCATCTGGGCCTGTTGATGTACTACTAGGAACCCTTTTCTCAGCCCTTTCCCACTCTCGTTGTGAAAATGGAGCCATTGCACCACTTGATTCGTCCTTGTCTATTATGGTGCATAAAACACTTCTTTGTTGAAATTTTTCTGTCACCCTTGTTCTTATATATTCAATAGCTTCGTCCCCTTCTAGCCTAGCACCTTGGGCTGTAGTTATAAACCTCTGCTCTAGGCTCGTCTCATTTCTTAGGGAGTTTAGATGGTTCCAAAATTTCGCAGCTGCCTTTCTATCTTTTTTTATGTACTTCTGCCAGCCACTGAGCTCCCTTTCTTCTAATCTTTTCATTGATCAGAAGGGATGCATCCCTTCTACAGCTTAGAAAGGTTTCCCATTTTCTTTCAACGTCATCTGTCGGTTCACCCCGCTGCTTAGCATGTCTGTGTTCCCTAGAGGCTTCCTGACGTTTTGCTATGGCTCTCTTAACTTCCTCATCCCACCAACCTTTGGGTTTGTGTCTTCTTTTCCGGGGTGACTTGTCACGCGTCTTAGCAAGCTCTAGCTCAAACAGTCTAATTAGATTCGTGTATGTCCACACTGTCTTATTATCCTCCGGGATTACTTTCTCAATTTGTTTAGTGGCTATTTCAATTTGCCTTCCTGGATAAAAATTTTCCTGTAGTTGCTCATCTTGTCTCCTTCCCACTTTCACTGCTCTTCCAAAACTTAGCTTGATACGTTTGTAATCACTACCCAGACTTCTGGAGCCACCTTCATCTATGTGCATTCCCCTGAGCTTATCATACATCCTATGTGACATCAGTGCATAATCTATCGTCGACTGCAGCCTTCCTACCTCCCATGTTGTTTGCCCTTCACACTTCTCGGTACTGTTGCAAATGATCAAATCAAGCCTTTCACACATATCCATGATCATTTTGCCTGTCGGGTCGGTATACCCATCTATATCTTCTATGTGCGCATTCATGTCTCCTTGTATAATTATCTCGCACTCTCTTCCTAACTCCTGAATGTCCTTTGATATACACTCTACCATTGCCTGGTTTTCCTCTCTCGCCTTTGCTCCCGTCCACAAGTACACGAAACCAAGGAGTGTCATTTGACCTGCCACTTTACCTTTTAGCCATAAATGTTCCTTGCACTCCTGCTTGACCCTTTGCCAGTCTGTACTTTTATGAATGAATGCCCCAATACCACCCCCCTTTCTGCTGCCTTCTGTTCTATTACAATATTCCCACGCGTAGTCCGGATTGTTCGGAGGTTGTTCAATGTCCCTGAGATGTGTTTCTACAAAACCATATACCATCGGCCTCTCTTCCCTTAGCTGTTCTTCTATCTCTTTCCACTTCAGCCTGTTCCTACCACCCTGCATGTTAATATACCCTATGTCTGAATTGGCTCGGCGCTCGTAGCTACGTCTATTTATGCCCCGGACTCTACCTATCTTAGATACTGGTGCCACTTTGGAATCGTATCTGTCCATACCACCTGTCGAAGAGCCTCCCTGGCTGTTTTCCTCGTTACTAGCTATCCTGCACCCCGAAGGGCTCGCTTGCCCCACAAAAAAGCTACTGCGCGTCCTGCAAGCCGCCAACCCACCTCATGACCTAGCCGCCCATCGAAGTGAATTCTGTCTCGTTGAAAACCGCCCCACCTATGCACCTCTCTGTTTATTTCCACCACCTCAAAGCCTTTCTCTCGACTCATCCGCCATATCTCTTGGTCTGCGTTGACAACCGTTCTTTGCAGGTTTCTATCACGCACCGGTACCTCCGGTATCGTGCATATCACTACCTGTACCTTAGGAGAAGTGGCGCGCATGTCATCGACGCCTTTCGCAAGTGTGGTTGCTAGTCCTGCTGTATCTTCAATTAAGACATCGTTTAAACCGCCTGAAATTATCACGAGTTTTCGTCTATCAGCTGTAGTTTTGAGTTTTGCGCTCGCTTGCCTCATGACTGCTTCAAGCTTGCGTCCTGGGAACACCCCTACTGCAACCCTCTTGCCACCTCTTACCCTCTCTTTGATGGCTTCTGTGCATCGATTTAAATTCGAGTCCCCGGCGATTATCACATGCTGTGACTTTTCAGCTGGAGCGTCCTGCACCTGGGGGCTACTTGCACCTGTGACGCCGGCTGCTTTGTCCCCTCCCAGCCCCACCACTACCTCGCTGAAGCTGGGCCTTGCGACAATTGAACCGGCTGAACCTGTTTTTTCCAAACTTGCTTGCTCTTCCTTCTCCACCGTTCTGGTTGCCGGTTCCCTACTGTTCTCTCCATAGGCCGCTTCTTTGTTCAGCTTCGCTAGTGCTTCCTCAGCGGACTTCAGTCTTTCTCCCATTGCCCTCGTTTTCTCTTGCTCTGTCGCCAACGCAGTCTCGAGTTCGGCGATTCTCATGAGCAGTTCACTCTGGGCGACCATCATTTTCTCCATTTTTTCCTCGACCTCACATTGCCTACACTTCGCGTCAGCCTCTTCTCCATCCGCCTCTACACTTGGGTCCACTTTCAAACCCACTCCACATCTTGAACACTTTACAGTCTTTTTAACCATGTCTTTCTGACACCAATTGTCCCTATACTCAATAATTACTAAACTCGAGCCCTGCACTACGAAAAATAAAGAAAGTCTAAGCTCTACTACAAAAACTTGTGTGTTCAATGTACGCGCACCTCCCCCACGGGGTGGCAAAAGAAAAAAACAACAACAAAGAATTTCAAACACACACCCACACTAACTAATACATACCTGGTGACTGGCCCCCGAAAAAGGCGTACCATAAAATAAGTGCTACGAAGATTTCAACTGCTGCCTTATAATTATAAAGACAAGCTCAAAACATGCAAAAACACTTATCTGCGCAGTCGATCCGGAGTGCTCAAAAAACACGTCCATCCACCATGACAGCCCGAACCCGTCGGTCGCTAGTGTCGGTCGCGAGTGCCACCGCGCGGAGCTTGTTTAAAACTCGCGAACACAACGCCACCTACGGCTCAGTAGCTATGACTCCAAAACCACGGCCGCTGGATCAAAGCTGTGCGCTTTGATCCAGCGGCCGTGCCAAAACACGGCTTCTGCGCGAGACACGTGCGCCACGCGGCGCAAACAACAGTACAAGGGGTGTTAGCACCCTCACAGAGCAAATACATCTTATGGTCATCAAAACAAGCGTCTTTGCACTATTTGTGGCGTAGCTTGGCACCATGTGTAGTTGACGATGAATATTTTTGGAGATGCTTCTACGCTGTAGACAAAATTTGTGCGATAATCAGGAGTGATTGCAAATTGTAGTGTAGATAAAAGAAGAAAGTTAATACGTATTTGATTGGTTCGTCATTGCAAGAACAACAACCACAACAAGAACTAAAGCTGCAATAATTGTACAATTACTTCTCGTTAAAAATGTGTGTTTGGTGATGAGATTGTCTACATAATCTTTCTGTTTCTTTTCAGGCATATGGGTGCCCGAAGAACTACCGTACGCTGATTTTCATCGCGCTTGCCTGCTCTGTTTGGAACAAATGGCGCTGAATCCCGTGGCACAAACTTCCGGAATCGTTCTATTGGTTGATTACGCTGAGTTCACGGCTGACAAGATCTTGTCCGTGAATATAGGGCTTGTTAGAAAAGCCCTAGGATATGTACAGGTAAGAAGTGACAATGTTCTTATTTTCTTTTTTTGTGGCGCTAGTTGTGAAGCGGCATCTTCATTGCTGGAGAAATGAGCTTCAGCCAATGCGCTGAATTTCAGCAGGTGACTGCAGTTCCTATATTCCGCTACCATAAATGGTGCGCGAGCTACGTCTTGACGCTCAGCTTGCAACAATTTGCGGCTTGTTAGGGTCAATTCATCAGCAAGCTCATGAGCCGGTAAATTTGGTTCCATATCGGTATGAAGTAATACGTTACCTGCTGAAATCACGTTTACTGCCATTTCGGTGGATGTCATAGTAATATATAAAATCGTTATTCTTTTCTACCCACTACCATGTAACATATAGTATTTGCACAGGTCATCGTGATCTCGAACGTGTTATTGCATTCGCAGTCATAGTCTCAGTACCGTAGGGGAATAGAGGAGGGAAAGGGCAAAAGGCCACGTAAGTGAAATCCACTTGTCGTCCTTAATTAAACGGTAGGAGCCAGTTGTATTGCTTCTGGTGGGTCAACTCAGCTGCCAACTCAACTGTTGAACACGTGAACGAGGGTGGACAAAGTAGGCGATACTCAATGCAAGAGCCATTCGTGATAAGCTGGACCCTATTTTTAGATGCGAAGTAGCTTATGGGGGTTTGTGACCCTATCATGTGCTGTCATAGCCAGCCACGCTAGTACTTGGGGGGCCCACTAGATGGCTCTGCAGTAGAGTGCTCACATAGGATGTATGGTAAGCTCAGTGGAATGCACATAGATGAAGGTGGCTCCAGAAGTCTGGGTAGTGATCACAAACGTATCAAGCTAAGTTTTGGAAGAGCAGTGAAAGTGGGAAGGAGACAAGATGACCAACTACAGAAAAAGTTTTATCCAGAAAGGCAAATTGAAATAGCCACAAAACAAATTGAGAAAGTAATCACGGAGGATAATAAGACTGTGTGGACATACATGAATCTAATTAGACTCTTTGAGCTAGAGCTTGCTAAGACGCGTGACAAGTCACCCCGGAAAAGAAGACAAACCCAAAAGCTGGTGGGATGAGGAAGTTAAGAGAGCCATAGCAAAACGTCAGGAAGCCTCTAGGGAACACAGACATGCTAAGCAGCGGGGTAAACCGACAGATCATGTTGAAAGAAAATGGGAAACCTTTCTAAGCTGTAGAAGGGATGCATCCCTTCTGATCAATGAAAAGATTAGAAGAAAGGGAGCTCAGTGGCTGGCAGAAGTACATAAAAAAGATAGAAAGGCAGCTGCGAAATTTTGGAACCATCTAAACTCCCTAATAAATGAGACAAGCCTAGAGAAGAGTTTTATAACTACAGCCCAAGGTGCTAGGCTAGAAGGGGACGAAGCTATTTATTATATAAGAACAAGGGTGACAGAAAAATTTCAACGAAGAAGTACTTTATGCACCACAATAGACAAGGACGAATCAAGTGATAAAATGGCTCCATTTTTACAACGAGAGTGGGAAATGGCTGAGAAAAGGAATCCTAGTAGTACATCAACAGGCCCAGATGACATTCCAATTATGCTGATAAAGACATTAGGTCCGAAGTCTAAGCAGGCTTTGAGAGAGGCAGTGAGCAAAATAATAATCGATGGTGAAGTTCCCGATGGATGGAAACTTAGCAGGATGAGCATGATCTATAAACGAAAGGGGGACAAAGCTGACATAAACACCTACATGTCCTATAACAGTGACATCAGTGGTCTACAGGCTGGCGATGCAGATTATAAAGGAAAGACTGCAGGCATGGATAGAGGATGAGGGGGTGCTGGGGAACTGCAGAATGGGTTTCGGAAACACAGGAGGTTGGAAGACAATCTGTTCTCACTGACGCAGTGCATCGAAATAGCAGAAAAGGAACACAGGTCACTGTGGCTAGCATTTTTGGATATCAAGGAAGCGTACGATAGCATGGTTCAAGAGGAATTGTGGGGAATACTGGACACACTAGGCGTAGAACATGTAGTCACTAATCTTTTAAAGGATATCTATAAAGGTAACAAGGTAGTTATAAAGTGGGAAAGACAGGTATCCAAGCCTGCAGAGGTAAAACGGGGGCTTAGGCAGGGGTGTCCCCTGTCACCCTTATTATTCATGATGTACCTACAAGGATTAGAGGCCAAATTAGAGGGAAGTGGACAGGGCTTCAACCTCTCTTTAGTCAAACAAGGAAAACTCGTTGATCAGGCACTACCAGCATTAATGTACGCAGATGATATAGTGCTAATGGCCAACAACAAGGAAAATTTGCAGAGATTGATGGGCATCTGCGGTAATGAGGGAGATAGG